GCTTGCAACTTATAGTACAACATATTGCAATTACGTATTTGAAAAAAAAAACTTCATCAAATACAGCCTTCATTGCAACCAGTGCTAAATATGCTAAGTCAAGTTGCAATTGTGTTGTAGAAGTGCTTGCAACTCATAGTACAATATATTGCAATTACGCATTTGAAAAAAAAACTTCATCAAATACAGTCTTCATTGCAACCAGTGTTAAATACGCTACAGCCAAGTTGCAATTGTGTTGTAGAAGTGCTTGCAACTCATAGTACAGCATATTGCAATTACGTATTTAAAAAAAACTTTATCAAATACAGTCTTCATGGATTTCGTTTTGTTAAGCATATTTTTTTCAACAACCAACTTCAAACAGAACTAAAATCGGATATATGGTTTAGAAGATATCGCATTTTTTTGTTTGGAATCAACAAAAGATTCCCTGCATGCATGCTTCCTGGTGGGTGGGTTGAGCTGTTACGTGGCATCACGTAGTTGGTTGTCTCAATTTAGTTTTACATGCATGAGCGTGGACTTACCTCGCGCTCGCCGTGCTCCGCGCGTCTCGCGGCTCGCGCTCACATGTCGGGTGCACTCGCTTCACAAAATGCATCCAGGTGCATTTTAGCCTCGTCGTGTGTGTGTATATATATATATATATATATATATATATATATATATATAATCTCCGGTACTGTAATTTTTAGGCCTGCGCGCTGCGATGATTTACCCGAGCATTCTTGTATTGTGTCTTATTGATCCATTTGTCTCCCTTCAAATTATTAATTTCTTGGTGAGGTTTTGGAGCAGCTAAATTTCTCCTCTACTTGCATATGTCTACATATTGTAAATTTCTCCTCGGTCGATCACTCATCCAGTCAACTGCTCGCTAGCTCATTCTTCTTCATCACACTGCTGCAGAAAACTTAACCAAGGCGCGCGGGCAAAATGACTTAATCAAGGCGGCCAAGCCATCCCCTCCGTCAAAAGGTCACGGTTAATCCGGCCTTAATGAAGACGATTGGGCGTCCACCTTGGTTAATCAAATAAAAAAACAAAAAAATAAGAAAGCTTGTGGACAGGCCCAGCGATCCCATCCACGCGCCGCCGCCACAGCCAGGATCCGGCCTCTGACCGCTGGATCTGGACCTGCACGCTCTCCGCCGCCAGATCCCGGTGCTCCTCGGCCAGATCCACGCCGCCGGAGGAGCTCCTCGCCCAGATCCACGCCACCGCAGCTTGAGGGAGAGGGAGAAGCCACCGCCGCCGCCGCAACTTGAGGGAGAGGGAGGAGTCACCTCCGCCGCCGCAGCTTGAGGGAGGGAGCCACTGCCGTAGCAACAGCAGCACGGGCTCGTGTGCTGCCTCTGTGGGGGACAGGGAGAGGAGATGAGGGGCGCCGTGGGGGAGAACACGCGCTGTGGCGCCAAGATCCACGCCGCTGCTGCTGTGGTGGTGGGGGGAGAGGTGAGGGAGAAGAAGCGAGTGAGGGAGGGACAGAGGCCGGTGGGAGAGGGAGGACAGAGGTGTCACACGGAGTTGCGTGGGGCTGAGGCGCTTCTGAGGGTGGATGAAGTGAGTTAGGGTTTGTTGTGTGTTGTTTATATAGTAAGACATGGTGGTGGGCTTCTGTTGGATAGTGGGCTGGGCCTAATTAACCGAGACGGTGGCTTTACAAATGCCCGCCTCCATAAATGATTTACCGAGGCGGATATTTTTGACTGCCTCGGTAAATAAAATGTCCGCCTTTGTAAATCAATTTTGTGAGATGATTACTTGTGACCGCCTTGATTAATAAAAGTGATCGTCTCGGTTAATCTGAGACATTAACCGAGGCGATTCAAATGTGCGTCCGCCTCAGAGGTCATTTTCTAAAGGGGCTATTGCGTTCTTGCCCCTATTTTGAACACCAATTGTGATTTTACCCCCATTTTCTTCCGCTTTATGTTTTTACCCCTGCTTTTCCAAAACGAAGGTTCAATTTACCCCTACTCCGTGAACAGCAGGTAACAGTGTTAAAAAGTTGAAAGATGACAAATTTGCCCTTTCGAATATGCCCCTACTTTTTTGACAACTTTGTGATTGTACCCCTGTTTGATTACGTGTATATTTAAGCAGCATTTTGATAGATTTGAACAGAAATTTGCCAACAAAAATTTGACAGAAAATTGCTAACAAAATTTGGCACAAATTTATCAAAATTTTGACAACACCATGACACAAAAGCAAATAGGTAGTGATTGGCCTCATGCCCTCATCTTTACTTTAACTCATTACTTCTTGCCTGCCACACGGAAGCAATATTGGATTGCAATCAAATCAATTTTAACGGTGAGCTTTCTAATCGAAGCAAATCCATCAGGCATCAGCTGCACGCAACATCTATCTATGGGCAGCCATACTATCTCAGCCATTTTGGATCAGTAGACCAAATCCCATCGGATGAAAAATTTTGTACCTAGGCAACACCAAATCATAGCTCTGGACGTGTCAGTCTCCGGCTCCATTGCCTGGCCACACACGCCCACTCGCCGCACACCGCCCGACGGGCCCGTTGTTGGCCTTCCGCCGCCGCCGCACCCAGCCATCCGCTAGAGTTGAGAGAGAGAGAGAGAGGCGGGTCTTCGGCTCCATGGTTGGCTGCTTTCACGAGACGCGCGGCCGCGCCAAACAGAGCCGCGTGCCTGGCTGCACGCCCACGTCAGGCTAAGCCGCGTGCGCCCACGCCGCTTACTCCGCCTGGCCGCACGTGCCCGCTCGCCGCGCCCGCCTGACGGCCCGACGCTGCCCTTCCGCTGCCACCGCCGCCACACCCAGCCGTCCGCTGCCTGCTAGCGTTGAGAGTGATGACCCTGAGAGAGACGACCGAGAGATAAGGGGTAAGTTTGTCTTTTCACAGGGCTTTTGCTAATTTTTAATTGCTTTGATCCGGATGTAGATAACTGAGTTAAGAATTGGGGTAAACGGAGCCTTCGTTTTGAAAAAGTAGGGGTAAAAACACAAAGTGGTAGAAAGTGGGGGTAAAATCACAATTGGGGTTTGAAATAGGGGCAAAAACGCAATAATCCCTTTTCTAAATGCCTCGTAAAAGTGTCTCTGTACTAGTGTCAAGACCGTATAAACTTCCACCAAGAAGCTATAAGCAACCGTAATGGCGCCGTCACCAAGGAATCTCTCTGCATGCGTGTCCTCCTGCTCGCCATCGTGCCCGCTTGTCCGTACATATCTACATGGAACAAACTCATATAATAAGTCTTGCAAGACATACGCGATGTCTCTTGAGCTTATTATTGTCTTGGCTAATTTAACGACGTTCTCCCATATACGTGCACTAAGCAGAGATGGCCACCGGTGAGAGCAGACAATACATGCAAGCACATGAGCAGTAGGTTTCGAGGTTGGTGTTTGGACGAGAACAGCTGCACAGATATTCTGCATAGCCGAAAGCATGGACAACATTAATGACACGTGCCTCGATCAGTCGATCGACATCCCCACTCGGCGCTACTACCGCATGCATTACGGACTGCTAGTTCGCCCTGAGATTGTTGCAGCCATGCGCTGCAAAGGGCTCCAGTTATTCCTGTTCGGCTCCGATCTGCCCAATAATAACATAAAATAATGTTTGCCATGTGTCACCAACTAGTTACTACCTTCCGTTCTAAATTACTATTTGTTGTTGATTTTTTTTAGATAAAAAAAGAATTATATTATATAATAGCTGCGTACATCAACACGTTACATGTACTCTGGAATACAATACATATATCTAGAAACTGATTGTAATCTAAATTGTACACACGCTGTGAATAGATCCAAATCTCAAAATCAAACCTGAATGACACTTCGTATGGATGACCGCACAGGTAAACACTCGTCAAAAGGCCTGAGAACATTCCTGCAGGCGGACTTTTGCTCACAATATTTGACCATTCCTTTTTATTAAAAATTTTTGTGCAAATATATAAAAAGATAAATCATACTTAAAGTACTGCCTTTAGGATAAAGTAAATCACAAACAAAATAAACAAGACTATACATGATTTTTTGAATAAGACAAATGGTCAAATGTTGTAAGCAAAAGTCAACAATGAGAATAGTAATATGGGACGGATCGGAGGGAGTACTTACATTGTGACAAATAAAATTGTTGGAATTGTGGATCCAATAACTTGGGCATGGCCGCCGCCTGCTGTATGTTGATCCTTGTAGTGTTTCTTTCTCTAGCAAAATATGATATCAACCATTATAACTTGCACTACATGAAAACCCATCATAGGTGACGGGCACGGTTTATCATTATCTTAGGTGACAGGCTTCAATTCCGTCACCATACATTCATAAGTCACCTTTGACTCTGTCATAGCTAGCTGACGGACATCTGCCTACCCACATATAACGATATATAGAAGTGACGGACAACATTGATGTCGGTCACTCATGGTCTGTCGTGATAGGTGTTGGGACCGCTCCTAGAGGTAATTAGGCCAGTCTCAATGCAACATTTCATGTCACTGTTTTTAATACTACTAGTCTTGCAAACTGAAACATGAAACGACCTCTCTCAATGGGATAGTTTCGTTTCACTATTTCATAGACTTGTAGCATTTAATTCTTGTGTTTGCTGTGATCAAATATACTAGATGAACTTTGTAGCCGTTTGTTGTGTTCGGATCATACTATCACATACGGCTGTATACTAGGGATCAAACTTTATCATATACGGCTGCATACCAGATAAACATGGTCAACTATATAATATATTAGTTAAATACAATACTCAAGATGATCACCACCGTCACGTTGACATCCACTTCAGACCATCTCATCACGGTGAACATCTGCACCGCTGTGCCCACATCTCCCACCCTGACATAGCCCCTAATCACCGTGTTCCATGACACAGCGTCCTTCTCAGGCATTTCCTCGAACATCCTCCGCGCGTCCGCCATGTTCCCACAATCCCACTGCTGCAGTAAAAGTGGTACAGCACATTCCGCAGGCTCACAATGTCCAGGAACCCGTACCGCCGCACGAGGGCATGCACCTGCTTGCCAATCGAAGCTGCCTCGGTGTCATCGGGGATTTTCGCGCAGAGCGCGAGCAGCGGGCCGGGCGCGCGCGGCGGAGACAACCCCTTGGTAGAGCGCCTGGTGGAGGAACTGGGCGGAGTCGAGGAAGATGAGGCGGTACGCGGAGAGCTCGGACACGTGGTGGACGGCGGCGTCCAGGGCGGGGCGGGCGTGGTCGACGGCCGACGAGCTCCGCGCACGACGATGGCGCCGCTGCTGCCGATGCGGCGCCAGCTGCGCCGAGGAGAGGGATCTGTCGATGCTTTGCAGGACGGCGAGGAGGTAGTGGAGCGTGTTGAGGCGCACGTAGAGCCGCTGCGTGCCGCGGCTGGTGGCGGGGCGCACCACGTGCGCGTGGTCTCGGTCGTCTCATCGTCTGGACCGGTTCGCCTCCAGCCTGGGCTTCTTGCTGCTCGTCACGATGTCGGCCATGCCGCAGTCGAGCAGGAAGAAGAAGAACGGCGGGAGGATTGGGGCGGGGCACAGGAAGGATGGCGACGGGGGCGGGACGGATTGGGGCGGAGGCGCACGCACGCCGCACGGGATGGACCGCGAATGCGGGTGTCCTGCGGTTTCCAACGAGTTGGAAACAGCGCACGGTCGTTTCACCCATGAAACGTTTCTCTTCTCTCCTCTCCTTAAAACATGTAAAAATTTTATTTTTTTATGGGTCACGCCCTATGTAATGTGTCTGAAATCCCATAAAATAATATCCATTGAGACCGGCTTTATGGTCCATGTTGTTGACGTGATGGGCTCAAATTCCAACGAGTTACTAGTGTAATTATATTTAGAAGTACTACTGTTAGAATGGGTTGCGCCTGCAACAGTTTAGGCATTATCTTCTAAAAAACTTCAGTCGCGTCATGATTACTATTTAAGTTTAGTTATACTTTACAGTCAATGAGGAACTATATGAATTTCTTTTCTTCTATATAGATGTAAGTACATTACAATTACAACATAGAATATCTTATCAGTTCTTCTACTGCTTTTCTTTCCACTTAGACCGAAACACATTTCCAACAGGACTCTTATAAATATACAACACCGACAACCTTATCATGGGAGCTCCAAATATTAAATAGTAGGGATGTGTGTATCTTGGTTATGTAGAGGCCGGGAATAATTTTTTTCCATGGTCTCATATCATAACGTAGAAAAAGCATATTGGTACCTATCTGCAAGAATAAAGGCGACATCCAAAGTTGCACTAATTATAGGGGAATTAAGTTGATGAGCCACACGATGAAGTTGTGGGAGAGAGTTATCGAGCATCGACTGTGGGGGACGACCGGGTATCTACGAACCAATTCGGTTTCATGCCCGAAAGGTCCACCATAAAAGCAATTTTCTTAATAAGACAAGCTATGGAGCGGTTAAGGGAGCAGAAGAAGGACCTACACATGGTTTTCATTGATTTCGAGGAGGCTTATGCCAAGATACCAAGGAATGTTACGTGGTGGGCATCGGACAAACATAAAGTCCCAACAAAGTATGTTACCCTCATCAAGGACATCCGTAACCAGTGTCCGAATAAATGATGGTAACACAGATTACTTCGCGATTAAAATAGGACTTCATCAAGGGTCAGCCTTAAGCCCGTATCTCTTTACCTTGCTAATGGATGAAGTCATTCAAGTATGCTTTTTGCAATGATGTAGTGCTAGTTGATGAAAGCCAGACAGGAGTAAATAGGAAACTAGAGTGTGGCGGCAGACCCTTCAGTCCAAAAGTTTTAGAGTAAGTTGAACTAAAACAGAATACATGAGATGCGACTTTGGCTACACTACACATAAGGAGGGAGAGGTGAGTTTGGAAAGTCAAGTGGTGCCTAAGAAAGATACCTTCTGTTATCTAATATCGATGCTACAGAATGATAGAGATATTGATGCAGGCGTTTGCCATAGGATCAACGCAGGTGGAGGTGCCACAAAAGCTTAAAGGTAAATTTTATAGAATGACGATTAGACCCACTATGTTGTATGGAGGAGAATATTGGCCGACAAAAAGACGACAAGTCCAACAATTGAGTGTCGTGGAAATGCGTATGTTGCGTTGGATTTGTGGTCACACAAGGATAGACCGAGTTCAAAACGATGATAAATGTGATCGTCTAGAGGTAGCACCAATTGAAGAAAAGTTTGTCCAACATCGGTTGAGGTGGTTTAGCCATGTCCAAAGAAGACCTTTAGAGGCACCAATGCATTGTGGAGTCCTAAGTCGAGATATCAATATGAGGAGAGGTAGAGGAAGACCGAAGCTGACATGGGGGAGGCAATAAAAAGGGATTTAAAGAGTTGGGATATACAGATCTTTGTTTGGATTGGAGTGCTTGGAAAACAGCTATTGACGTGCCTGATCCATGACTGGGGACTTATTTTGGGTTTCAACTCTAGTCTAACCCAACTTGCTTGGGACTAAAAGGCTTTGCCGTTGTTGTTGTCGTCGTCTCGTATCATCATGTATAAAACCTTGGAAAATAATAAAATTTCCCTTCTCGGAAAAAATTAAATAATAATATGGTGTTTGTCAGAACAACTCACTACGTGAAAAACGATTTGTAGCAACGGAGCAAATTTTTTGTAGGGGCGGCTGGTGATAGAGCCGCCCCTACAGTGGCGTGCTCGGGAGCCCAGTGACCAGCCGCCCCTATAAATAGAACAGTAGGGGTGGCTGGTGATACGAGTCGTCCCTATAAATGAGTCTGATTTGTAGGGGCGGCTCACTCACCAGCCGCCCCGGTGTTGGTATTTGTAGGGACCACTGGTGATTGAACCTCCCCTACAAATGCTCCGCGTATAAACACTTGCAATTTGTAGGGGCGGCTCAATCACCAGCCGCCCCTACAAATGACCCACGTATAAAAAAACTGCAGCATCTTCTTCCTACTCGGGTCACTCACTCCATCATGTGAAAGAAAGGTGGGGAGGCCTTAGGCATCTCTCAAAAATTGCTCTACTAAGGGGGAAGGTTTTGGTCTCAAATTCTTTGGTGGAGAGGTTGTAGAAGGTAAAAAAATGCCATTCCACACTTTTTTTTGAAGTTTTAATGGTTGGTTAGTGAGTAATTAGAGTTTTGTTTTTCTCTCTCTTCTATGGTGCTTGAGCTACTTATGAAGCAAATTAGACCCAAGTTTTGAAATGTACTAGGGTAAATTAGGTAGGGGAACAAGATCATACACTTATTTGGTCCATGTTTCTTGATTTTAGTGAACAATTAGTTAGTTTTATGGATGTTTCATGTGCATGTAGATCTAGATCTAGGGTTTGGTTTTTTTATTAATTTTGTTTTTTAAATTTGTGTTTGATGAAATTGGACTACGGTTTGTATGAAAGATATTGGGTAAAATATAATTGTTGCTAATTGTCGTCTTTGAAATTATGTATTGTAATCAACAAATATGTATTTTAATTATTTGTGGATAAATGGACCATTAATTAATTTTCCTCTACCATGGTGTGTTTGTATGCTTTATGTAATTATATTTGATTTATATTCATATATATCTAAAGTATATACAATTATTCTCAAGTAATTATTAATTTGATTCATTTTTATATATATCTGAATAAGTAGTCCTTTAATGTTTGTTTTGTTGTTGTTGTAAAAGATGGAGTACATGAACTCTTGGATGTATGGTTCGTTAAGGTTCAAGGCAGGTTTCCGTGAAGAGCTGGATAAATTTATTGAAGCTGCAAAGAAGCATGCAACGACATTGACAGAGAATAAGGATACAATTATTTGTTCCTGTAAAGATTGCAAGAACCGTATGGCATGGACAGATATGACTATCATCAGATCACATTTGATTATGCGAGGATTTGTTGAGGACTACACAGTGTGGATTCATCATGGTGAAACGGTTATTGTTAGCGACGAGGATGAGGAGGAATACGACGACGAAACCATAGAATCCCTGTCCCAATATTCAGCAGAGCTTGATGCACGAATGGATTCCGAGTTTGGCAATGAACAAGGTGGTGATGCGGTGGGTGGGATGGTAACGACGAAGGTGGTCCCAATAATGATGGTGGAGCACGTGTCGGGGATGAAGATGATTTGGAGGACATGATTCGAGCCCTTGTACCAGCGATTTTACTAAATAGCCCAAAAGGGCTAGAAAATTTGGAAAGGGTAACAAAAGCATCGAAGGAGACTGTGTATGGTGTTGAAAAGGGTTGTCCAACATATTAGACATTGCTACGTTTTGTGCTTGAGCTACTCATCCTGAAGGCTAAGTACGGTTAGTCAGACTATAGTTTCAATGATCTATTGCATCTCCTGTCATAGGTGCTGCCACAACCAAACTCAGTTCCCGCCAACACATACCAAGCGAAGAATGTCATAAGTCCATTGACAATGGGGGTTGAAAAAATCCATGCATGCCCCAACCACTGTATACTTTTTTGTGGCAAAACGTTCAAATCACTAGATAAATGTCCCCGGTGTGGGGCCAGCCGGTACAAGAACAATGACCTTTACGGTGGGGACGAAGCCTCCACAGGGAAAAAGAGGAATAAGAAGGGTACAAAAAAGGTGGTACAAGAATCTCAACCCCCAGATGACACTCCATTAGGCAACGATGCAAAGCAGAGAAGAATTCCTGCCTTGGTAATGTGGTACCTGCCAGTGACCGACCGCTTGAGACGTCCTAAACCCTAAAGAAGCCACACTCATGACATGGTGGGATGATGAGTGCAACATGGATGATGATAAGATTGCACACCCGGCTGATTGTAGCCAATGGCAAAGGTTCGATGAAAAACACAATGAATCCAGCGATGACCCAAGAAATGTATGATTTGGCTTGAGCACCGATGGAATGAATCCCTTCAATGAGAGGATGAGCAACCACAACACTTGGCCAGTGATCTTGACCATATACAACATCCCAATGTGGTTGTGTCAGAAGAGAAAGTACATTCTCCTTACTATTCTTATTTCTGGCCCTAAACAACCAGGCATTGATATAGACGTGTTCCTCAAGCCTTTGATGCAAGAAATGGAGAGGCTATGGAGGCATGGGGAGCCGATGTATGATGCGTTCCAAAAGGAGGACTTCATATGTAGAGCAATAATATTTGTTAGTACCAATGATTACCCCGCGTTGTTTGCTTTGTCTGGACATATCAAATGGAAGACGGGATGCTTGGTTTGCTTGGATGGTACTACATGGGTGTACCTAGATGCATCCAAGAAGATAGTTTACCTAAGGAACCGACGCTTATTAAAGACAAGTCACAAGTACCGCAGCAAATTATTCTTTAGATTTTATGACAACACCCCAGAGATTGAACCCCTCCGGAGAGATGTCATAACGGAGAACATGTGTACAGAATGGTGAAAAACATACGTGTCGTGTATGGAAAGAAGAATATGGATAGGACGAACAGAGATAGAAGCACACCTCCTATCGAATGCGTACCTTTCAAGAAACAATCGATCTTCTTTTAGTATCTGCCTTATTGGCCAGACTTGGAGGTCCCCCATGCCATTGATGCTATGCACGTGCAGAAGAATGTCTTTGAGAGTCTCATTGCTACCTTGATGGACACAGGCAAGTCAAAGGATGGTCTGAAAGCACGGAAAGACATGGTGAAGCTAAACGTGAT